ATGGAAAGTAGTGAAAATTATGCTCCGAGTGGAGCTCAAGTCTGGGGAGGAAAGTGGGGGCCGGAGGGGCCCAGACAGCAACGCTTGTAGCCGTAGAATATATGGGTAAGATACAGGGCTGTGTCTAAACAAAGGGTTTTGTTGCTAAAAACTAGTTGGAAAACCTATGTGAGGTTTGTGCTGAGCAAAAGTAGGATAGAGGCAGATCTCAGAGTCTACTGGGAGGGCCAGGCAGGTAGCCCACAACAATGGGTGGCATCAGGGGACAGAAGGCCCCAGGGCTGCATGGGTGGCTGGGAGAGGTAACCTGGAGGATCTGCTAGTGGGCCAGGACGCAAGGGCAGGCCACTTCTGAGACGCAGAAAGATCCTGACTGATGCGGGGACAACTCTCCCAGGAAGGGCTGATCAAGATGCGGCGCGGGTGAAGGCGGCAGTGAAGCCAGTGAGGGTGAGTGAGCAGGTATGGGAGTGGACCCCTCGCAGAGGTGGGCACGCCAGGGGCTCCTGGCCACTTCAGCTCTCCCTGGCCTGAAGCCATTGCACTTCTCTTGGCACAGCTGGATGCTTCTTGTCTTGCAGATCTTCGCTCGAATGTCCCTTCCGGGTCACTCAAGCCACAGTAGTCACCACCGTGCCAGTTACTGTCCATCGCCTCTGTTTTCATTTCTTTCTCACCTGTCGGCCCCCTCCTGGAAGGTCATTTCCACAGGAGTGAGCCCTGCCGGTCGTGCTCACAGCTGGGTCTTGGCCCGTGCCGGGGCCTGGAAGTGACAGCGTTCACCTGCGGCTGCCCTCCGCATCCGAGCAGCTCGGTGGGCGGGCCGAGACCTCAGGATGCGGCTCCAGCTGCGCGGTTGCCCCTTTAGGCGCTGGGCCGCGGCGCACGCGCATTAGGGCCGCTACGCGCGCAGGCGCAGAGGGGCGGCGGATGTTTACAGCGGCAGAGGTCGGCGCTGCGAATCGGCGGGCTGCGGGGCAAGGGGCTCCCGGGCGAGGGGCGCCGGAGGAGCTGCAGGTGCGGTCCGGCGGCCGATCTCGCGGGCCGGCCGAGGCGGGAGGTAGAGCCGCCGCGGCGGCTCTCGGCCGGGCTTGCGGGGGTAGGGGGGCGGTGCGTCCCCTCCGCCCCTTCTCCCTTCCTCCCTCCTCTCCATACCTTCCCTACCGCTGGGCGCGGGTTCCAGGTCCCTCCCCCGAGGGCGCTTCCTCCTCCCCGCGTCTTCCGGTGTTTTTCCTCTGCTCTCTCGCCCCCACCCCAGCACGAACGCCCCTCCTGATCCCAGGCGGCTCCCCTCCCCCTTCCCGCCTCCTCGGGGGTCAGCCGGGGTGGGTTCCCGGGGTTCCCGAGGTCTGTCTTCGTGCGCATTGCTCACACCTCTTGGGTTGACTTAACTCTCCAGACGCGCTGCTCGCCTCTAAATTACTAAGTAGGAAACCTTAACCGTTAGCGCTGCACGTGAAGAGTTACCGAGGTTTGAAACAGGTTATGCCTTTTCAGAAGGTGGAAGAGTCTGTTAAGGGAGAGTTGACCCTTCCAGCCTTGGGGACTTGGCTTCAGGCAGGACCTGGAAGAGGTCTTCAGTTGGGAAGGGAGCTCTCCTGGCTGTGGGGCCTGTGTTTTGTGTTTGCCAGGGCCTGTCTCTCCCAGGTTGACATTTGCACCGCAAAAAAGATCTTTCTCTAAATCCCCATTTGGTTTATGTGCCTGCTAACGTTTTCTTCGTTCTTTTTGGCCAGGGAGGGGCTGAAGTAAGCAACTGCATTTTTAGTGTTGGGTAGACCGGCAGGTTCCTATAACTCAAGTTTGAACTTGCCTCTCTCGGGTGGGAGGACGGTTGAGGCTCCTGAGACCAGCGCCTGGCTTCTCTATGTTTGCACTTAGCCGGGAGAGACTCCTTGTTCTGACAGTGTGTCGGTATTTCCAGCTTCGATTTTAGAAAGCTTTCTTGTGTGTTAAGTAGAAATGCTCTCCATCCAATATGTGTTCCACTGCTCTGGTTTTTTCAGGCCCATGAATAGTGTGTATATGGCAGACTTTCAAGTATTTGAAAACAAATCCCTTGCATTCCTTGTAGGAGTTCTGGTTTTCACAATGAGAAATGTCTCCATTTCTTCCCTTATTCCTCTGACAGGAGGTGTGATTTTGCTTTCTTCTCCTCATTTTATCTTCCACCTGAGTTACTTTGTTCATGTTGCCCTTAGTAAGTAGCCTGATGAGTGTAGACTTGAATCTTGGCCCTCTTATCAGAGCTTCATTCTGTGTTAACTGGCCCCTGTGACAGCCTCTTCGGCTGCCAGTCTGAGACCTTCCTACTCCTGCTCAGCCACCCCCTCCCTGTGCCCTTGCTGTTGGTTTTGGAAGGAGCAGCCTGAGAGTAAGATGGTCCTGCTGGCAGTGCCCAGTTACATGGAGTGGTGAATTAAGGGTTACAAAGTGTAACCAGTCAAGCATCCAGAAAATGATATGCCATTACTTTGAAAACTTGGATTAGAGTGGATTGTAGGTCTAGATTTGGTTCGTCAAAGCCATCTCTGAGGTGGTTGTTGGTGTTTTGGTGGCATTAGAGCTGATCCGCATTGATGGTTAGTAATAAGCAATGATTGTTTTCAGTGTGAGGAAGTGTTAGATTGCCAGGCAAAGTTAATAATAAATATCAGATCTTGCTGATGGTCACGTGCAGCCCACTAGTGGCAGCAGATAAGGTTACCACATAGTTATTTAGCCTGTTGTTTTGGATAGAGATACCAGTGTGTTCAAAGTTAAAGAATTTTGCTCCTTTGAGAATTTTGCAAAGCAGTATTTGGTGTAGGGTAAAAAACACAGGCCTGTGTTTGAATGCCAACTCTCCTTACAGACTGGTGTGTGATCATGAGCAAAGTAATTTTTCAGTCCCAAGTTGCTTCACAGTGTTGTGAAGCCAAAAATGAGGTCATGACTGGCAGGTGGTGCCAGTAATCTTTTTACAGGCATTACAATAACTACAATCTTTTTGTAGTTATTTTTACTAAAAAGCTAGCCTTTGCATGTGGATTAAAATCTTAAAGTGAGGCAGAGTTGAAAATAAGGGATAAATAACTTGGTAGACAGTGAAACATACCCATCATATCCTTGGTGTTTGCTTTCTGAGGATGAAACATTACACTCTGGGGGCTTCTGGGTGGAGAGGTGGCTTTCACATCTACCCTGGAGGATGTGTGTGAGCTAGACCTTTCCCTGAAGCAACCAAACAGGACTCCACTTTTAGCTAGTGACCCAAATCTTAAGATGATTGTCCTAGCCTAGGGGTATAGGCATTAGCCTCAGAACTAAGTAGTTAATCCAGGATTGAATTTGACCTCATTAACACTTTATCCTTTCTGGCTGAGTTAGTTGGCTGTGGTCTGTAACCATCAAGGGCTCTGAAACAACTTAAAAACAGGGTAAGAATCAAATAACTGGGCCATCCTAGTGACTTGAGAAGTCTCATATTCTGCTTTAAAATCTTGACGATGAAGATGAATTGATTGCTCCAGTCATAAAATGGAAGAGTGCTTGTGTTAAGCCCCCACCCCACACTGTGTGTCCTTGTGAGAAGCTGAAGATTCATGCATGTGGTCAGCTAACTTTCTTTCCGGGGGCATGCTCTCCCACCGCAGTTGCTAGTTTTGTGTGTGTGGTGTGTGTATGGAATTTTTCTAGTGGCAGTTTTTGTGATTCTCATTCTGCTGTTAGACATCCTCAGAATTGTGAGGGAGAAGCAAGCATAAACTTTGTAATAATAAAAATGTAACATTATGGACATCATCCTGATTCAGAAAACATATCAGCCTTTTTGATGTCAGGTTTTTTTCTTTTTTTCCCCCCAGCAGTTAATATCAAGTGTTTTGTAAAGCATTATCATTTTATATGAAGTGAAAGTTACCTGTGGTGAGTATAAAATTGGAGTTGTTCAAGAAGAGTAAAACCTCTACAGATGCAGGATCATTTTCCCTAGGAATCATATGAGGATACATTGTATTTTAGTAGTTGGCTCAGCAAGGAGGACATGTCACTTTTTCTTCTTGAAAGCAGTTTGGAAGAGAGCAGAAATGTACTTTTTATTGTTGAAGAGGTGGAATGGTGGTATGGTAGCTACTTCTCAGGAGTTGAGGGAATTCTAGGAGGCTCCTGCTCCTTAGCTGCAGCCTTGAGACAGTTCTGTATTTGTTAAAATGAGGTGTTTGTCACAGTATGTTCCACGGGTAAGAGTTTTGTGGATGTTGTTTTGGCCTGAAGTTTTTACATCAGAACATCCAAAGCAAAAGTTGAATGGTTTGCTTGACTTGATATTTATGGGCATGTGGGATTTGGAAATGCTAGGCAAAATATAAGACAACAGTTGAATTTGAATTTCAAAGTAACAGTGAATACCTTTTTAGTATTTATTGACCTGAATTTTAATTTTTTTAACTTTTTGCTTTTAAAGATTTATTTACAGAAGATCTATAGCACTCGAAATATTCAAAAAAGATTCCTCTTAGAATGATTTTTTAGTAAATATATCTGCCCTCTTTTCATGTTTACATTCAAATATTTTTCCATATGTGGAAATATCCTTGTTAAAATACATGTATAAGCAAGATATTTTTAATCCTAATTGCTTGACTTTCTAGAATGATGACTTTTAGTAAAGTCTCGAATTCTTTAATGATGTTTTTAAGTTATCAGCTGTGTGTTAGGTATCACATGTTCATTTGTATTCAGTTGATACTATAAGTTACAACTTATTTTTGGATGGATATAATTAAATTTGAAATATAACTTTTTTTGTTGTTGTTCTGGGTCTGGCATCCTTGGAAGTGGAGCGAGGTAGTGTAAGGGGCTGGGTGTTGAGTAAGTGTATTCCATCTGTATTATTTTTAGAATTCAGAATCTGAAATTGGTGTGTGTTTAGGACTTTTATTGTTCTGCTCTAACCTTTAATGTGAATAGCTCTTTTGAAAATTCTAAAACTGCAGCTTTGCCTGAGCGTGGTCTCAAAGATGGGAGGCGCGGTGAGTGCTGGTGAGGACAACGACGAGCTGATAGACAATCTGAAGGAGGCGCAGTACATCCGCTCTGAGCTGGTGGAGCAGGCCTTCCGAGCTATTGACCGTGCAGACTATTACCTCGAAGAATTTAAAGAGAACGCATATAAAGATTTAGCATGGAAGCATGGCAACATCCACCTCTCTGCTCCGTGCATCTACTCGGAGGTGATGGAGGCCCTGGACCTGCAGCCTGGTCTCTCATTCTTGAACCTGGGCAGTGGCACTGGCTACCTCAGCTCCATGGTGGGGCTCATCCTCGGTGAGTCTGGCTCTGTCTCACGTGCCGGAGGGAGAGCCTGCTGGCGGCCTGTCCTTAGTGGGGGCCGAGTTGTAACTGCCCTTGGCCTGCCCAGCCATTGTGGTGTCCACACAGTTCTTGGGTTGGGGGGAGATGGTATTAATGGAGAAATTGCTGTAATGAACAGAAGAGTCCCTCTGGAGCTTTCCTGTTGCCCGCACCTGTACCTCCAGCATCTGACCAGCAAAACCTCTTGGACAGCAGAGAACCTAGAGATTGTATAAATCTGGACCTTATGGTGATTTCTCAATTAATACAATCACTCAGTCTGCCTGTCATTGTCTCTAAACTGGAATAATTAACTTTAAAGTCCCTGGCAGTTAAAGTTCTTCCAAGCAGTTTTTGTTTTTTTTTGGTTTTAATACTAAAGGAGCTATTACTTGTAAGTTATTTTCAAATGTATTCCAGGGGTAGGAAAGATTTCACAAGTTATGCTATTTGAAGCCATTTTAGCCTGTTTTCTCAAACATATAAGTTGTGAGATTATACATGGAAACTGACCATTTTAATACTGAAACATCATTATCAGACTCCTGAAGATTTTAAAGATTCCTACCTCATGTTAAATACAGTAGTAGGGGACAGGTGTCTGTTTTCATTCAGAGTCAGGTGAACAGTTCTGCGAGAGGAGGGCCCGGAGCCGCTCTGTGCTTTAGGAAAGGGCACTGCGGAGGAAGTGGGCTGGTGCCCCTGGGTGGAGGAAGACATGGCTGGCTTGAGGCTGCTGGGGTCTTGGTACGCGTGGATGTTGGAACTGACAAGGTTTGCTAAATATCTTAAGTTTTTGGCTTCTGTATCTTAACATTGTTATCAAGTCAGTGTAAGATTCTGAATATTGGTGATTTCAAGTAATAACAGCTTAAAAGTCAAGTTTAATCATTAGCAGTACATTACAACATTGTTTCTCTGTGGTTATTACAGGCACTTTAGAAAATCTTAGTAGTCACTGTTGCTTTTGTGGGTATGGAATGAAATTTTTGGTTGCTTTATAAGTTCATATACTTCAGAATTTGGTAGAGTTTTGAGATTCTGATCATCTGACTTTGGGCTATAAAATATAAATTTGGGCTATATCCTCAGATTATTAAATGTGTAGTTTTTTGTTTTCTTGTGTTTTTTAGGCTAAATGCTTTTTGAACTTGTCTTGGATTGAGACTGCTTTGCAAAGAGAGCTCAGGTTTTTCATCATTCTGGAATTAGTGAATTGTAATTCCTGCTGTTGGAGCTGAAAATTGGAGGAGCTAAGGATAAGGTGGTATTTGGGGGGAGGGGGAGGGTTATCAAACTGATTAGATTGGAAATGCTATTAAAAAATGAAATGCTTAGGAAAGGATGACTTAAAGTCATCTTCAACTGACCTGGTGCATTTGACATTCTCTGAAAGTCATAAAGAAACGCTCATGATGGATATTGTTGCTTGTATTTTCTGAGCCCCCGCTTTCTCTTTCCTGGGGGTTTTGCTGGATGTCAGCAGGGAGAGTTCTGAAGGAAGGAAAGCTGTGTTTTTGGTTGTAATGGACACTGCGTGCTGCTTTGATGTATTTGAAGGTGGTAACTTGAGAGTCTGATTTCATGGGTAGAGTCTTGGACCTGCAGGTGAAGGGTACAGGTACTGGACCGTTTTCACTGCCCAGTTGCTGTGTGTCGTAGGCCTCCCTCTGTGGTTTATTCACTTTCATGCTGCTCACTGCCAAGGTGAAGACTTTGCTGGTCTCCCAGTGCCTGAAGTCTTTCATCTGACTTGGGGTGACTTGGGGTCCTTACTCTCTCTGCCCTGCTGCCTTTCTGCCACTTTGCTGTGCTTGTGTTGTGACTCCTCGCCTTGCTGAGGGTGCTCCTTTCTCGAGGTTCCAGTTGGCAGGACAGCGGGGGGCGGGGGGAGATGCAGCACTTGTGAGCTTCATTTGACGTTGTTTTGTGACGTGGGAGCTGCTCTGTCTGGGGGGCCTTGCGGGACCAGCTTCAGGGTGGTGTCCTTGGTACCACCATCCTGACCTGTCCCATCCTTCCTCCCCTCTCAGTCAGCTTTTTATTGGAGTGGGTTGGAGATATGTGTCATTACTTTGTTTGGTCTGAAGCTTCTTGTCCTCAGTAAGAGTCTTAACAGAGCTGAGGGGCTAATGAGAATATGATGAGGGGGAAGTAAATGCATGTTTTCTTGGTCTCTGGCAAGTGACCAAGAGAGTGGTGAGATTGGGCAGGAAGTAATGTGGATGTGGTGTCATAAACAATGGAAATGTGACTTCTCAAGTAGGCTGTGTTTTGATGAGAGGCTGTTTTAGCAGCCACTCTGTGTGGGAGGCATTGAGAAAGGAGAGCGGGTGAGTCATCCAGTAGAGACAGGGAAGCCTGCATCTGGGGGAGCTGCTGCACTGGGAAGGGACCAGGTGATCAGTGGAAGCAGAGATGTGTGTGCCGTGCACAGATGGCTGCATTTACCAGTGTTTCTGTTGGATGTAGGGTTGAGTGTTACATTGTGACTTTGTATGTATATCTTCTAAATAAAACCCTACATGCCATGTTCATTTTCTCATGCAGATTTTTTAAAAATCAAGATATAACTTACCCATAGTAACTTGACAAAGTTACATGAAGCATGTATGAATGTAGTATGAAGTATGAAGCTTGGTGACTTTTTACATCCTCCTCCGTATAAGCACCACCCAGAACAAGATGCAGAGCAGAATCTGTGCCCCAGAGGTTCCCATGGCCGCCCCTCCAATAGTAGGACCCCATCCACTCCAGGGGGAAGTATACTCACCTCTATCACACAGATGAGTGTTGGCTGTTTTGACCTTCATACAAATGGATTCTTAAAACCTAGAGATTCAGTGAAGCTGTTTTGTGTCAGTAGTTCTCACTGAAATTTAACCAGAGGCTTTTGTATGTAGAGGAAGCACTTTTATCATTACGTGGGCTCCTAACTTTTCTCATAACTTTAGTTCCAGTTATTGATAAATTTCTTTCTTTTCTTTCATTCTTTCATTTATTTAGCTGTGTTGGGTGTTAGCTGCGACATATGGGATCTAGTTTCCTGAATAGGGATGGAACTTGGCCCCTTGCATTGGGAGTGTGGAGTCTTAGCCCCTGGACTACCAGGGAAGTCCCTGATAAATTTATTTTGGTTAAAAAATATTTCATTGTGACTTTGGAGTTACAGTTTTATTTTGATGATGATTAAAACTATTTTGTGAGGATTAAATACCACATTTGAGTGTTTGGGGAGACCTTTGTTGGAAAAAAGACTTGTGTCCACTTTCTTTTGCAAAGACACGTTTCTTTAGTTCATTGTTGTTCAGTTGCTAAGTTGTGTCCAACTCTGTGTGACTCCATGGACTACAGCACGCCAGGCTTCCGTGTCCTTCACTATCTCCCGGAGTTTGCTCAAACTCGTGTCCATTGAGTTGGTGATGCCATCCAACCATCTCATCCTCTGTCGTCCCCTTCTCCTCCAGCCTTCAGTCTTTCCCAGTGTCAGGGTCTTTTCCAATGAGTTGGCTCTTTGCATCAGGTGGCCACAGTATTGGAGTTTCAACTTCAGCATCAGTCCTTCTAGTGAATATTTAGGGTTGATTTCCTTTAGGATTGACTGGTTTAGTGGCACCTGTAACTCTTGGTTTCAGACCTTGGCTGTTTTACCTTTTCAGATGATTCTTGAAAACTTTGAGGATAGGACGATCAAGGCTTTAGGAAGCTGTAAGTTGGTAGTGCCATGTAAGGAGTATTGATGATGTGGTGAGCAGAGGCTAGTCTGCATACTTAAAGATTGGATTGGGTGATTTCGGCCTAATAAATGTGAATTTCTGTAATTATACACATCCAGTCAAATGTGTTGCAGTTGATGAAATAGAAATAAAGAGTGGGGGTTCTTGTCCTGTTTCTGTATGTTTTCTTATTCTGAAACCTTTTAGGCCCTTTTGGAGTGAACCACGGGGTGGAACTCCATTCAGATGTGACAGAGTATGCAAAACAGAAGCTGGACTTCTTCATCAGGACAAGCGACAGCTTTGACAAGTAAGACCAAAACTGTCCATGGGTCTGGGTGTCAGTTATAACTTAAACTTTGGATTGAGTGGAAAGAAATCAGTTTATTACTGTTCATGTTCTGGCAATTGTGATTAAACTGTGGCAGGTGAGTCAGTGATATGTGTGTATATGTTCTAGTTATTTTAAAAATATTTTGTGTTTTTAAGGACCTTTTTTTTTTAAATTATGATACCTAAATAAAGGTAATTTATCACCAGTGTAAGAGAAGGAAATAGAATGTTCATTTTTTCTTAATTTTCATGTTTCCAATAGAGGCAGCATTTTATCATGTCCTTGTTTCTGAAATGGAATTGTTGCACTTGTCTTTAAATGTGCCATGTAACTAGCTTTTGCCATTTTAAAACAAGGCATTTAAGTTCTTACTTTAGGGATTAAAATTTAGAAAAACAAAATACATTTTTTTCTCTTTTTACTCTGTTAGTAGATCTTGAATAAGATATAAAGCAAGATAGGATAGTAAAAGATAATGAAGATATAAGATAATAAGATAATCATAACAGCAAAGATAGTGATATGCTTGGAGCTTGGGTGACTTAAGCTTGGATTGTGTTTATGATACTGACTTTCATAATACTTTCTTTGGAGTTTCTAGAGTTCTGTTTATTACTCACATAGTTCTTTCAGAAGTCTGGTGTCCCAGCTTCTGACTCTTAATTTTATTTATGTCATTGTGGGATTGTACAGTGAAAACATAACCTATGTTTAACGTAGATTTACTATATAGTCTTGTTATAACATGATATATTTAGTTGTGGAAAACATCTTTTGCTTTCAGGTTTGACTTCTGTGAACCCTCTTTTGTTACTGGCAATTGCCTGGAGATTTCTCCAGATTGTTCTCAGTATGACCGGGTGTACTGCGGGGCAGGCGTGCAGAAGGAACACGAGGAGTACATGAAGAGTCTCCTCAAGGTCGGGGGCATCCTGGTCATGCCGCTGGAAGAGAAGGTCAGGTCCTCTTGTAACCGGTGGTTTTTGTGCACTCAGCTGTCTGCTGAGGTCTGTTCTGGGGAGTTGACAGGCATTTTCTCTTGTAACTCTTGTTACAAATCCCTTCCTCTCGCAGATGAGAAAACAGGCTAGAGAGAGGCCAAGGTGGGGCGGGTCCTGAGGACTTGCTTATGTTCTGATTTGATTTATTTTGGAGGAGAAAGGACACCTGAATACTTGCCAGCAGTTACAGAGTTCTTCCTTATTTAAGATCTTGCCTGTTCTTTCTTTCTGATGCTGGCAGTGTGACTGGCCCTGATCCATTGTTTTGTTAAGGGCCGTAGAATGATACCTCCTCATTCTGTCATTTCTCTTTATTTAGTAGCCGGAATACACAGGTGGAGAGAAACACCCTCATTAGTTATTTGTTTACCTTGAGGTATACTTTATAAAAGGAGGTACAGGATAAATTCTGATGCTTATTAACCTTTGTTTATCAGTTTTTCTCAATAATTGGTTTCCTAGCATCTGCCAAAGATAGTAATCAGTGAGGTTTTGCTTGATTTTTTTAGCAAAATGAATTCATGCAAAAGCATACTTAATATTTTAATCTCTGTGTGACCCTTATCAGAGTTCACACTGTCTCACTTTGGCCCTGGCTGCCTCTCCACATTGGCTCTTGGACTCTGCAGCCTCAAGAATCTTTGATAGTTTTGTTAATTTCTGGTAAGAAGACATTCCAGATTTGCAATTAACTTTTTCTGAAAATGAATAATCCCTGTTTGTTTTCAATTTGGTGGGAATTGGTGTTTAGACACCACATTTGGGATCTCGAAGGTGGTTGTGGATCCCTGTTCGTTTTTCTGATGGACCACTAATGCTTGGGGGTCAACTGCCACCCACTGCCCCAACACACACACATTTTTTTTTTTTTTGGTTTGATGTTTTGGAGAGAGAAGACACCATAAGTTCATATCAGTACTTCCAAATCAAGATCAGGACCAGGGTTCTTTTTTCTCACATTTTAGTGTTACATCAGTAGTACTTTTTTCTCAAACTGAAAGTCCTGATCCCCAACCACCCGGCTTACTGTTAATCTGCAATGCATGGTGTCATCAGTAGCAATCTGAATTCTGAAACTAGTGCAGGGTTTTTCTTGTTTTGTGAGGGAGTGGCTTGGGGGCCCCACTGTATTGTCCTTTTATTCCACTAGAGAGGTTCAAATTACTATGTTTTAAGTTACTGGGAATTATACCTCTGTGTGAAGTTATGGCACCAGCCCCAAAGAACTGCTCATTTGTTTTCTTTTCTTTTAGTTTTGAGAAGTTGCCATTTTGGGGATCTCAACTTTGTAAAATAGTTTTAAGATTCCCAAGTCTAAGCAAGGAATACTCAGAATTTTATTCTGTGTATGTCCCCTCTTTGCTTCCTTCACCTGTAGGTGACTCATTTTTTGTTTGTTTTTGGTTTATCTTTCGTTAAGAAAGTAGAAGCTAAAAAAATTTTCAGTGAGGGTACACACTTTTTTACACTCCACCCACCCGTTCATACATATGAGAGTTGATAAGTTTTATACATCATTTAGTTTTTAAAAAAGTGATGTTCATTATAGCTAGAAATTCTTTTTTATCCCTGTTTTGTTTATTAAAATTTTTGTTGGTGTATAAGAATGTGGCTGTTTCAGATAGGTGTGTATAAGGCTGTGGCTGTTTCGGATAGAGATTTATAAGGCTGTGGCTGTTTCAGATGGGGTGTATAAAGCTGTGCTGTATCGGATAGAGGTGTGTAAGGCTGTTGCTATTTCAGATAAGGGTGTATAAGGCCATGGCTGTTTTGGACAGGGGTGTGTAAGGCTGTTGCTATTTCAGATAAGGGTGTATAAGGCCATGGCTGTTTTGGACAGGGGTGTATAAGGCTGTGGCTGTTTCGGATAGGGGTGTATAAGGCTGTGGTTATTTCAAATAGGCATCTTTCACTGTTAGAAACGGTGCTGCTGTGAAGAGCCTGTACAGACCGTGGACATTACCTTGGTTTTATCTGAATTCGTGACCTCCTGCCAGGAGTGCCTGACCAGAGGCTGTTTAACCTTGGCCATTTCAGAGGCAGGTCGCCAGGAGTATGTTCTTATTGCTGTTTTAGTAGTTTGCAGGATAGGGCCAGATGTCCCTGTGTTTGCTTTTCTTTCTCAAGAGTATTGTTTTAAGTACGTATTTATTTATACAAATTAGTTTAGAAGTCTATGTTGTGTTGCAGAACTACATTGTGTTAACATCTAGATGAATGAGGGCTCGAAGACGTCTTTTTAGTATTCATGGAGATGAATACTCCAACATGAAATAGGGATTTATAGTTTTGTTTACAGGTTTACACATAGTTTACTGATTAAATTCAAATATTTCACGTTCATGATAACTAGAAGCTCTCCTTTTAAAAAATTTTTGAAAAAAAGATTTGTTGGTATATAGGAATGTTGTAAGTTGTTGATATTTGTCTGGTACATGAGTACTTAGTTCTTTTAGTTCTGAGATCCAGGACACAGTCTTAGTTTTTAGAGGATTTTGCTAGCTTAGATATTTTTAGATGAGAGCGCAATCATTGTGGCTTGTCAAAGCTGACCAGAAATCCTACTTTGAACTGTTCAGGCCATTCAGAACCTGGCACAGTCATGGAGCACATGCGTGACTGTTGTCCAGTTGAGTTCTCGAGGTGCTCCTTGTGCTGTGGTTCACAGGAACCATCTGGCTGACCTACACTGCAGCGTGTCAGCCAGACAACCCGGTGTCCCATGGGGGCTGCACCCCTGGAAGCCCTTTAGACACATCGATGTGCACCTCTGAGAGTGAGGCCAGGTACCCACATGCAGGGTGGCCCACTCACCTTTGAGAAAGCAGCACTGATTTGTGATGGTAGCTGCTGTTCAGTGGGGGCAAGATGGTCTCTTCTTGTAGTTCCCATCCCCCAGAACAACAGCTAGGACTCAGTCTAGGTTGCAGGTTGCAGGTGGTTGTGTCTTTAATGACTTTTACTTTAGGATCACCCTGGTCTCCTTACGTTTCCCCTACAACAGTGACTTCTTTGGAGAGTCTGTAAGAAGCTTGTCTTATCAGATTCCCCACATTCCTTCTCTCATTGTTTCCTTAACTTCTGTACTAGGACCTGGAGTACCTTTGCAAGAATATCGCTAAGTTAGGTGTTGTTCTGGTCATGTCACATCAGAAGCCCACGTTGTCAGGTGTTTTCATCTTTAGTGTCTGTGTTTTTTTAGATTGTATATCAGTTCAGTTCAGTTCAGTCGCTCAGTCATGTCTGACTCTTTGTGACCCCATGAACTGTAGCACGCCAGGCCTCCCTGTCCATGTCTAACTCCCGGAGTCCACCCAAACCCATGTCCATCAAGTTGGTGATGCCATCCAACCATCTCGTCCTCAGTCGTCCCCTTCTCCTCCTGCCCTCAATCTTTCCCAGCATCAGGGTCTTTTCTAATCGGTCAGCTCTTTGCATCAGGTGGCCAAAGTATTGGAGTTTCAGCTTCAGCATCAGTCCTTCCAGTGAACACCCAGGACTGATCTCCTTTAGGATGGACTGGTTGGATCTCCTTGCAGTCCAAGGGACTCTCAAGAGTCTTCTTCAACACCACAGTTCAAAAGTATCAATTCTTCGGCACTCAGCTTTCTTTATAGTCCAACTCTCACATCCATACATGACCACTGGAAAAACCATAACCTTGACCAGATGGACCTTTGTTGGCAAAGTAATGTCTCTGCTGTTTAATATGCTGTCTAGGTTGGTCATATAGGAGTGATTATATTTAAATATAAACTACCAGTGGTCAGATCTTTTGAATATTCTCATTTTAATCTCTGGGATAGCTGACTAAGATAACACGCACTGGCCCTTCTGCTTGGGAAACCAAGAAGATTCTGGCTGTCTCCTTTGCTCCGCTGATCCAGCCCTGCCAGTCCGAGTCCGGGAAGTCGAGGCTCGTCCAGTTACGTGAGTGCAGAGATTCTTACTTACCTTTTAAATCTTTTTACTCTTTCTAGAATTTGAAGGGAAACAAAATTCATCAGGAACCTTTTAATATTAAAGAGAATTTTTCCACTCACTGAAGCCTTAAAGTTTTACAAGTGATTTTTTTAAAAAATCCCTTGAAATCATTTAAAAATTATAATCGGTTTTTAGCTTATTTTGAGTTATTTTAGGTCATTTGAGCTTAATATTCAAGGGTGAAAGGAAACTTTCTAGAAAGAGAAAAAAATAGAAGAGAAGCATGAGCTGAGGCAGGTAACTGTCAGCTGGAGGACCTGATGTGCACAGTCAGGTTGTGGGAAGCACTGGGTGGGCAGGTGCTTAGACCTGAGTTCATCGTGTAGGTGGTGGAGCCTGTCCCATATTTTAAATAGAAGATGTGGCGCCTCTAGACTCCCTGGTGGTCAGGGGAAGATGACTTTATCAAGTGCTTGCTTCCCTGAAAATGCCTTCAGAACAAGGAGGCAGATGTGACCTGCAGTGGGGAGAGCACTGCTGTCTAGAGCCTCTGCAGAGTATTGGAAGGTGAGGGCTCAGGCCGGACTTGAGACTACTGTCTTGGTCATGCCTGGACAGGATCATGATGGGGTGGAGGGCACCTGGAGATGCAGGTTTTAAGGCCAGGGCTTCAAAGTGCATGTGGCCCAATGAGCAACTATGATGCTCTTTAGGGCTCCTGAAGTGAACATTCCAGTTATTTGTAACTTTATTTCCTGGGCCAGAGGTTCCTAGACTAGTAGAGTCACGTTGATGAGGGTCAGCTCTTGGATGGATGGGCAGGTGATCAGACTGTGGGCAGGAGCCAGTCAGGAGACCCTTGGGATTTTCCAGGCAGGAGATAAAGACCAAAGCTAAGACACTGGACTCCATAGCGTCAGGGACTCAGGAGGCACTCGGGGCCTTTCTGAGGAAGGATGTGAGAGTCACAGCTGGCTGGCATGTTGTGAAGGTGGGTGTATGGGAGGCTCTGACCCCAGTCAGGCCTGGATTGGAACCCAGGGAGCTTTTGACTGCTTTGTGTTACCTGAGGCCATGGGATGGATGTCAAACCAGGGATCAGTAGGCAAAGCAGAGGGGAACCTCTTTAGGGAACACGCCAGGCTGGGTGGAAGAGGAAGAGGCAGCAGGAGAGACTGGGGCCAGGGAAGAGGTGGCTTCCACCAATGGCACATTGGGGTGAGCTGGAGGCCAGAGCTGGCTGTCGGAGGTCTGAGAAAGCGTTCTGGGGGGTCACAGCTGGAGGAGCACTGAATGGCATTGGGGCAGGATGCCGTGTTGGGGTGTCTAGGAGCAGGTGAGTGCCAGGGCCCCTCCCGTGTCCTGACAAAGGAGCCTGGGGCTCCCGTGGGGCAGCGAGTGCGGGGCCGATTCTGTGAGGGCTTCTCTGGTTTGGATAAGAGTTACTGCAGGCAGCAGAGGAGCACTCTCTATAGTGTGGGTTATTATTTTTTGGAGAGGTTAGGTTCGGGGGGTAGAAAGTGAAGCTCATTTTCAGTTTAATGTATTTAAAACATCCCTAATAATTCTCTTTCCCTCAGAAAAACTTTATATTGCCATGTAATTTAATTGCCAGATTTTATTTTTCCTTGATGTGCTTTGGGAATTTTGTTCCTAAAAATGTTTTGGAACTGCTTGTTCTCTACTTTAATAAAAAAAGGAACAAATACTTAGATTCCTGAAATACTGTCAAAATATTAAAATAGATAAAAGAATGCTCGAGCCCCGTGGTCGCTGTATTTCTGCTGGATGAGAGAATGCATCAGTGAACACAGCAAATAGAGAAGTGAAGCCAGAGGCCAGAGGACCAAACCCTATAACCCTGGTTCTATTCTACCACTGATTGATTGTCCAAGCAGTGCTGCTTCCTTTTCTTATCTGATATAAGGGTCAGTTTATTTGAAAATATGTTTTGAAAAATACCATATGAATGCAAATTAGAGCATAGATAACATTTGCCTCCAACCCTCTCCTGTTCTTGTCATGTGTTTGTAAATTTGCCAGTGAATGAAAATGAGGTTAGAATTTTCTCAGATGTCTAGACCTTGTGATGTCACGAAGGTGAGACTGAGTCTTGTTCTTTGCGCACAGCACCCCTGGCTGTTCGCAGCCTCCAGGACCTGGCACGCATCGCCATCCGGGGCACCATTAAGAAGGTCATTCACCAGGAAGCAGTGAACAAAAACGGAAATGGACTGAAGAACACTCCCAGGTTTAAACGAAGGAGAGTTCGCCGCCGCCGAATGGAAACAATTGTCTTTTTGGACAAAGAGGTCTTTGCCAGTCGGATCTCTAACCCCTCTGATGACAACAGCTCTGGAGACCTGGAGGAGGAGCGGCGGGAAGAAGAGGTGACCACCCCGCCGGATACCAAGCCTGAGCCCCCGGTGAACTTCCTGCGTGAAAAGGTCCTGAGCCTCCCTCTGCCAGATCCTCTGAAGTACTACCTGCTTTATTACAGAGAAAAGTAGGTCTGTGGTTCGGGTGGGGGAGACCCAGTCTGCCTGGAGAGCCACCAGAGCAGGGGCACTGGCGAACGAGGGGCTCCTCTCTGCATCTCGTCTGCTCTTGACTGTCGTCTAGAGCGCTCCTCCCTCAGTCTGACTTCTGTGAACACAGTCCATAAGTTAAGAGTGTTTTCTCAAAAGGGCGAGAGTCCCCTGGAGGAAGCGCTGACTTCCTGCTCTCAGGAATCACTGAGGTCTGTGTGTGGAGACGGCTGGGAGACTGTTCCTTACGAGATACCCTGCATCAAAAAGGAAAACTGAAATTGAAATTAACCTGTGTTACTTATAAAATGTGAGACAGAAAGCACAAGTTTTTAACTCTATAAAATCTTTTCTGAGTGGGACACACCTATGCCCAAGTTTGAATTTTATAGTATCAACCTTTTAATTACTGGCACTGAGTTTCACTAATAAGTGAAACTGAATGAAAATTTCAGTAAATCTGTCAGTTATCTGGAGTGGGGAGCCACTGAAAAGCCCTCCCTTATTTTAAGTAAATTAACGAAATCTTATGTGAGTTGTCACTTGTAATTTAGAAAAAGAAAAATTGTGATGGGGGGAGGAATGAAAGTATGAAATTGCCAGATGTCTTTGTGGAATTGCAGAGAATTTCCAAGGAATTTTTTTGTGACACCTTTGTTATCTTTAAAAGAACCGGCGTTGAGTAATACCATCAAAGAAGATCCTGAAGAAGGAAGCCAGTGTCGTGTTAAGAAAGAAGCTACATTGCTTGTGCCGCAGTGACAGAGATGATCATTGATTCAACTTTGAGGTGACGGTTTCTGAGGCTCTGTCTTCAGAGCACGTGGAAGGTACTGGCTACAGGAAGTGGATTGGGAATGATGTGGACAGCCCGTGGATTTTTCTTCTGTTGGCTATTTTTCTGTAATTACATTACAGTACTGACTCATAGATTTTATCTTTTATAATTCTGGAAAAAAAAGATTGGTTAGTTTTGTAATTTTTTTTAAGAACAAACATAAATGATCAGTAGCTCTTGCAGTAGAGTGGTTTCACTCAACAGTGATATGTGCAGTCCATCTGTTCCAGGCCTGTGTGTTGAGAGCTTCCTGTCTTATCACGTCCTGGGTCTTGAAGCAGAGGCTGTCCTGTTAGTCAGGTGGCAGGATGTTTATAGGTGACACTGCTTCTTCCAAAACATCAGTTCTTGTCAGACTTTTCAATTTTATCCAAAGACTAGTATAAAATCTTAAAAGTAAATCCAAAATCAGTAAATCCAAAAGAGTGCTGATGGAAGATTGATCATCCAGATTTTACGATTAATTTTATCCCTTAGCTTCTCAAATGCCTTTGTGGTTTCACTAGCTTCACTGAGTTCTATTTTTTTTTTTTTCATTTATGCTTTTTAAAAAAAATTGTATCATTTTATCATAGAATACTGTGTGCACACATAGCTGGGGAAATGTGTACAGCGCCCTAAATTGGTACAGTTAAGCTGTTGTAAAGAAGGTTTCTTCACTGCTGTGCTCACCTGCCTTTCACTGGAAGTCAAGCCTCATTCTCTCAGAGACAGAAGCATGAGTCATGTTTACTTGCTAAGGCTTCTGTTTGCAGATCTTGTTGACGTTATTCTAATTGATTTGTAGAGACCTCTGCAGCACATACACGTTTTTGAACATAATGTTAAATAAGTGATATCGGAAATCTATTGATATTAGGTGGCTTGACTGAATTTTTTTCTATTATTGTTTATGGATTTCCCTATTTTTTTCAACCACATTTGCCTTTATGCTGGATTGTAAAAACTCTTTACAATGTGTAAGACATTATTTTCCCCTATATATGTTAAACCCTTCCTAACATTTTGTATCTACATGTTGGTTTGTGACTTTTACACCAGAATTTGGTTAAAAAAAAAAGGAAATATATATAGATAGATAGTATATGTGAAATAATTTGGTGTTGATCTATATTATAAACATAAAGGAGAGTCATCAGTGAGCTTCCCCATGTATTAGCACCTTTCTCTAGAGTTCAGTGCTTTCTGTTTTCAAAAACATGAATTATATATAGTCTGTGTTGTCTGCAAGCTCTGCATTGTAAACCATAGACATCGGCTGACTTTTATGTTTTGAGTAGTCTGTATTTTTATATGTGACTTTTGTCTTGAAAGTAGTAAAGCCATAGACATGTGCAAAACAAATAATAAATTTATAAATATTAAGAATGTCATATAGAAATCAGCTGTGTACTTAATATTTCTGCCAGTCTGGAGCTTTCAGGGGATTAATGCAAGAAATAGGAAACAAAGACTTTATTAAGCTGATATTCAAAAGATTCCAATAAAGGTAGTTAAGACACTTTAGCCTTCTTGGAATTGCTTTTGTTTCCTGTGTGGAATTAAAATTTTTGGCTACTTTTTTTTTTTTTTCCCAAAAAAATCTTTTAAAGTAGGTTTTAAAAAGTTAGGATCGTGTGTTTTCTTTCACTGTATTATTGCTGAATTCTGTACCATTTTAGCACACCTGGGGGGACCTGATTTGTAATTAAACACAGGAAGTTGGAATAGACAAAGTCAGACTGTGTGAACATAGCTGTCTATAGAGTGTCTGGTTAGTTTTTTGGTACAGTTTTCCCATATCGTGAAAATATTAAATAAAAGATAATTGGATAATGGCAGCATATCTTATAGGGCCATAGGGGTGAGGGTAGGGTTTAGGTGTAGGGTCGGTTGGGGGTCAGGCCAGGGCCATGGTCCAGATTTAAGGTCGGGGGTCCAAGGGTTGTGGTCCAGTATGTTTCAGTTACCAGCGTCTTCATGGTTGAGAAAAGGACCTCCCCTCACAGCCTTGTGGCCTGCCAGGAGAGACATTAACGCTCTAAACATGGTGTGTCCCTCTTCACATCAACCGTCCAGCACTCTGTGGCCCTGCAATCCTTTGGCCTCCAGTTGTCACAGACTTATACTCATTAAGACTCAAAGATATGGGAGCAACTGGGCCTGTCCAGGGGAGGTTCACACTGTGGTTGCCTGGTCTTGGGGAGCCACATGCACCCATGTGGGCTCTTGAGAGCTGCCAATCCTGGATTCCATGAAGGGAGTAACCCTTGAGCCTCCCAGTGCGTCGCTGAGCAAGAATTTCCTTACCACCGTAGCATGTAGTCTTGGCTCTTTGTAAAGAAGGGAGGAAACGGGATAAATGAGCAATACTGGTCTTGGAGCCTGAGTGAGAAATGCAGCCAGGGGCAGGTGTGACTCCTGCGCCCCCACCACCAGGGACATGAATGAGGTCTGTGCCTTTTGCAAGTGAAGGGCTTCTTGCTGTCATGGGAGGACTGCAAGGGCATTGAACAGGTGGTTGCAGCGCCTGATTCTCAGTCAACCCTCCTTCTTTGGCCTTCATGTCCCCCGGCTGTGCCGTAGGCTGTCAGTGATAACGGAACCTGCTGTTTTCGCCAAGCCAGCATCTGTCTCAAGCCAAAGCCCAGAACCTCAGCTTTCCTTTTGGAACTTTGTTATCATTGAATTGTTTAAACAGGAGTAGGCTTGTGAGACTACTTAGTAGGCAGTGAGTAGTGGTGTTAATCCAGATTATGTGATTTTTGATAATCAGGTTAGTGGTATTGTCATTGGCCAAAATCTTGGCCTTCTCTCCGCATTGAAGCCAAGACAGAGTTTGGAGGAAACAGAAAGGAGGCTTTAATTCTCAGCTGGCAGGGAGGGGAACACAGTAGGCTTGTGCCTCAAGAATGATGCCCCGTCCCGTCCCATGAAGAGTCTAGGGGCTTATAAGGCAAGGGCTCACAGTCAGGAGTTGGTGATGAGAAACAAAGGTGATAGTGTTAGGGGAAGCATGCTGATTGAAACCGTCCACCCTGGCCAGGCACCATAGTAACCATTTGCATGAGCTGTTTTATGACAGGAGATCCTGATAAGGAATACGGAACTAATAAGCCACCCCCAACTGGAAGAGTTCGGGAAAGGTCAAAAGAAGACAGTGCGTGTCCATCCACTTCCCAGAATCCCTCTTGCTATCATCCATCTTGGCTGAGCCATGCATGCGCCACCAGGAAAGACTCTGAATTAGAATGATTGGCCCTGCACAACAAAGGAAACTGTAAGCAAGGTGAAAAAACAGCCTTCAGAATGGGAGAAAATAATAGCAAACGAAGCAACAGACAAAGGATTAACCTCAAAAATATACAAGCAACTCTTGCAGCTCACTTCCAGAAAAATAAATGACCCAATCAAAAAATGGGCTAAAGAATAAAACAGACATTTCTCCAAAGAAGACATACAGATGGCTAACAAACACATGAAAAGATGCTCAACATCACTCATATCAGAGAAATGCAAATCAAAACCACAATGAGGTACCATTACACGCCAGTCAGGTTGACTGCTATCCAAAAGTCAAAAGCAATAAATGCTGGAGAGGGTGTGGAGAAAAGGGAACCCTCTTACACTGTTGGTGGGAATGCAAACTAGTACAGCCGCTATGGAGAACAGTGTGGAAATCCCTTAAAAAAGTGGAAATAGAATTGCCATATGACCCAGCAATCCCACTCCTGGGCATACACACTGAGGAAACCAGATCTGAAAGAGACACATGCACCCCAATGTTCATCACAGCACTGTTTATAATGGCCAGGACATGGAAGCAACCTAGATGCCCATCAGCAAACAAATGGATAAGGAAGCTGTGGTACATATTCACCATGGAATATTACTCAGCCATTAAAAAGAATTCATTTGAATCAGTTCTAATGAGATGGATGAAACTGGAGCCCATTATACAGAGTGAAGTAACCCAGAAAGATAAAGAACATTACAGCATACTAACACATATATATGGAATTTAAAAAGATGGTAACGATAACCCTATATGCAAAACAGAAAAAGAGACAGAGAGGTACAGAAAAGACTTTTGGACTCTGTGCGAGAAAGCAAGGGTGGGATGTTCTGAGAGAATAGCATTGAAACAAGTATACTATCAAGGGTG